TTATCCAACTGGATTACAAAATTCTTTTTTCTGTCAAACACAACATATTATCTTAAAATCAATGGCAACCACGATGAGGGCGTATGAGAAGAATCAGAAGACTGATATTCCAGTTCTAGTCCTACCTAACCAAGACAAATTTCATACTAAAGGAGCTGCTATTGTAGCAGTCTAAAACTCCAAGATTGGTTTCCAAGTGAGCTATAACCAGTGATATCTGCTAGGGATAGGGGTAAAAAAAATTTAAAAAGGCAATCCGACAGTGGAATAGCCCAATCCCACTGGGTATGCAACATCCAACAGGGTGACAGCTTCAGTCTTGACTATCATCTTTTATTTCCCTGAGAATGTGCTGATTGGTAACCCTTACAGCTACAAAAACATGTCAATTTTATTATTGCAGTGAACTGTTAATTTTAATTATGCAACTCTCTTCTACGTATTCTCCACAATTTGCTAAGAAAATATACTGACAAATAATTAGCTATTTCCACAGGAAATTTTCTGTAATGCATCTACGTGCAAAAAAACAAAAATACCTAACTTTAATGCTCTTTTAATTAATTTGTATTTTTATAAGAGCTTTTAAAGGTAGTCCCATCACCTGAAATATTTACGCAGTACCAGCTTGATGTTTATGTTTAAACATGCTAATTGTAGTGAAAAAAATTGTGGTAAGTTTACTAAAAAGCTATGCATTTCATAGAAATAGTCTATTTCATTAATATCTATTATTTCTCTTTCTTAGAGTGAAAGAAATGTAGAACACAAATAAAGTGTAGTTATTCTGAGACATAGACAATCAGTGTACATCTGATATGCAGTTATAGTGCATAATTGTACACCAAATGGGAACTGTCCTTTAAGCTTAATGTTACAAACAGATGTGGATTCTAAGCCAAGCAACAATCAGATGAAAATCCACGAACACCATTTTAAAAAATCCCTACTCATCCACTATAGCAGAGTTCAATGTAGGCTCTTTAAAGTCTTCCAAGACATCAGCTATTATTAATGTTTGCAGAAAACTACTAAATAGTGTTCTGTAGTTACTCTATATGTTGATCTCTGTTACAGAAGAGTGAGGTCTTGTGTTGATACAATTTCTTATTTTGTTTGTCCATGTCATGACACAATTCTGCTATTTCAACACACTTCTGTGTGCCAGTGCAGATAAGTGGCAAACACAGTTGGCTGGCAGCTGAAAAAAGTAAGAAAGAGCAAGATATCTCATCAGCAATTGTTTTCAAATTAAGCAGCGGTGGTCAGGTTAAGACATGCATAATTTCAGCAAGAAGCTGACTTTGCTTGTGCAAACAGGCCCATAAGTACTTTAGCATCATTTTCCCTCCTTGAAATTTGATGTTCTAATTATCTGCTTATATATCAGATGTTTCTGAAAAGGCTCCTGGGCACCATAGCTCAACAAATCTGAAGGCACTTCTTGCCTACTACAGTATTCTACAGTATACATAAATAATAAAATGCCTTTTTTCTGTTTGGTTCTGTCTTAACATTATTCTTATATTTCGTAGGAGATAAAAGTAGCATATCCTTCTGCAGATGTCATATTACCAATATAATAGACTACTATTTAAATTAAAAAATATATAATTTTGTATGCCTATTTTTGGGTGGATAGTCAAATTTTCACTATGATTACAAGTGCAGACCAAGTTCAAAAATATATTTGAATAAAATAGTAACAAAATATTACAGTATATTGTATACACAGTACATGTTGCTAAGAAAACAACTTAAGATGGGCCAAAGTTAGTCACTAGGAAAATGTTAATTCCAGGTATGAGAGCAGGGTATTTATATGGAGCCCCTGTCTAGTCTTTCATATTGAGGAGTGTTTTAGTTCAGACAGTCATCTGATTCTTAATTATGGTTTTTCTCATGTTTGGCCATCGAGTCTTCATGGAGTTGAGTGTACTTAACAAAACTCATAGGTAGGTAGACAGGCAGATAGATTAGGTAAGACAAATAGATTAGGCAAGATAGATAAAATGGAGAGACAAACAGGTAAGAATCTCTCTCTACTCAATCCTGATTTTCAAAATACAGTTGAAGTAGCTCTTGCTGTGGACCACCATCGGCCAGCAGAGCTGGTGGCAGACTCAGAAAGTGAGGAGGTTGAGGAGGCACATGGGCCAGTCCTGGAGTCTCGGGAAGGCTCTGATGAGTTGTCTGCGTTGGAGGCAGAGATGGGACTAGGGCCGTCCAACAGTTATCAGCTGCCTTTGGAGTTGGATATCAGTGAGGCAGAACAGCTGGAGCCTGTTCCTGATGTGTGCATGTGCAGAGCTGCCAGGAAAAGGGATCAGTTAAGGAACAAGGGCTGTAAAGGTATGGGTGGACAGTGAATGGCCTCTCCCAGAGAGAATAAAGAGGAGTGAAAGTGGAGGAGAGTTTGCAAGAAACAATTAGTTCAATTCATTAGAGTGAAGATCTGTTCCTGACTTCTTGCCAAGTGATGTTTGAAAGATATCAGCCTGGCAACTCTCCAATAAAGGTCTGTAATTGAAAGACTATTTGCTGGAACTTTGCTGGAGAGGAATTCCCTTTAACCTAAATAAAAGAGGTTTTATCGGGACAAGGAGTCTGTGTCATGCTCTTGGGAAGCCTAGGTCAGAACAGCTCTATCGTTTTGGCCACCTGGATTATTTTCCCCAAGATACTTCATGGAAGTTGGAAGTTCTTTATGATGGGGTGACATATTGACTAGTTTGCATGCAAGTTATAAACAATAAAAACCAGTCTTCAGATGAGCTTGGTATTATTAAGTCTAGTGCTAATTTGACAAGAAAAGTCCTTTCTGGTGCAGCACTTATTGCAACATTTTTAAAATAAAAATTTTGGTTATCAGTACCTGAGCACCTAATCTGCAGAGATACCTATTCCTCAAACTAAAGTCACTCTTTGGTTGTAATTTGGCTAAATCATCTTCATTCTGACGTCTGATTTTTTCCCGTCTTTTTGCTCTGCAAAAACAAAGGGAACGTTATTAATAGACACATAGAAAGATGAATGTGTTAGATCTTCAGTGAACGTTATTCTTACATCAAGGCATGGATGTACTGTTAGCTAAAGGAAGGGGAGAACAAGTCAAACATATTAACAGACAGTAAAGTCAAATACTCTCTCGTCCAATATTTATTATTAAAGGTCAAAATGTAAGTGCAAAGTGCAAGTTTCAACAGTCAACCAACATTTAATCTCTGCCTGTAACCAAAAAAAAAAAAAAAAATTACCAGGAAACAATTGTAATACAAAATACAAAATAAAAACAGCAACTTTTAGAGAAATAGTAGCTGCCCTTTTTTAAAACAAACACAGCTTTTGATCAGTAGGATGATGTTGTTCAATGATATTTTTAAAAAAAATCGTAACATTAGGATTTTATTTACATTCTTTTGATCCTGTAAGACACATAATATTACAAAGTCACGATTTGCAAGGAGAATCATCACATTTTGTAACAAATAATCCCTTCAAAAAACAAGCTGCTGAGTACCAAGACATCATTAGCTCGCAGACAAAACCACCCTTACGCAAAACAGAAGGGTAGATATCACTGTTCACATGCCAATTAAATTCAGTGAGCTGAAGGAGCCGACTTCACTTCAAATGGGAGTCTCTTCAACGAGGTGGAGTATAGACATATAGAAAAATTTTGCTCTGCTTGCAGTCCGGGTGCCTTAATGAAGAGAGATGTTTGACACGCTGTATGTTCAGCATATGTAACTGTGTTTTCCTGAGTGAACTACTTTGAAGTGTAACTTGAGGTCTATCACCTGAATATGTACATGTACTAGAATACTCTTCAACGGGATTGTTGTTGATCAAGTGCTGCCCCGTTCTGGAAGGAATTTCCTATTCAGATTTCTTTTCTGCAAAACATATTGTAGCAAACATGTTATTGTAACTATGTGCTTGTAAGTCCCTCAAAAATGCCATGGTGCAGGACTGAATATTTACCGTATTTTCGGACTATAAGACGCACAGGAGTGTAAGATGCACCATGATTTTGAAGAGATATTTTTTTAAAAAAAAGTTTTTGTACTCTGTATGCCTCCCAAACCCTCTGCACGCCTCGTTTTTTGAACAAAAAGGGGGGGGGGGCATGCAGAGCTTGGTAGGCTTGTAGACTGCTCCTTGGGCTTGGGGGAGCAAAAAATTAGCAGAAAACAGCCCATTTTTTGCAAAAACTGNTGAGTCTATCTCATATATTAGTTTCACCTTTAAGTTGTATTACTGAAATAAATGAACTTTTGCACGATATTCTAATTTTTTGAGTTTCACCTGTATTCTGCAGTTAAATAGAAACTATGTGCCACTGGCAAACTGAATAATGCAACAGCCAAAAGTATCCAAAATCATTAGATACACCATTATCACTAAGAACAGTTATCTAGATTGGCAGTATCACATGTATAGGGGAATTGAAACCTTCCAGATCTTATGGACTGGAACTCTCATTATCACACCCTGGTCATGTTGCCTAGGTTTGACGGACAGTTCAGCAACATTTGGAAGACCATGTTTTGCTAATGCTATAGAAAGCTTGGCATCTGGATTGTAGATTTTGGAGGAAGGTGTCAGAATTTTTGAACAGTTTTATTAACTGTGCTCCCACAAGTTTGCTGAAAGCCAACTCATCCAGATAGCATAACCTTTTAGCACTTAGACTTATATACCACTTCATAATGCTTTACAGCCTCCCTAAGCAGTTTACAGAGTCAGCATATGGTCCCCAAAAATCTGGCTCCTCATTTTATCAACCTTGGGAGGTTGGAAGGCTGTGTCAACCTTGAGCAGGTCAGAATTGAACTCCTGGCAGTGGTCCTGCAATCCGGCATTCTAACCACTGCACAACCATGGTTCTTATGTTTGGAGATTATGGGAGTCCAAATGCATAGGGATCCATTTAAGGACAAAGTAATTTACATATTTTGGCTTTATTTCAGAAAAATAAAGCTGAATGAAATACCTACCATTGCTATCCAAGGATTCCAGAAAGTAAAGGCCAACATGATGTGAGAGGTCAAAGTTCCCACCACTGCACATATAACCCATGTGATGTTCCTTCCAACTTTATCTACTAGAAGTCCAAAGATAGGGGACATTGGGGCTGATATAACATACACAATGCTGAAATGGAAAACAGAAAAGTCAATGCAATGAGATCAATTTTCCCATTACACAATAATTCTTCCTTCCTTCACCATCCTTCTTCCCCCCTCCCCCCGCCCTTCCCAAGAAGCATTTGGACTATTCGTGACTTGATATATTGAGATATACAATGATTCCTATCAATAAATTCACGAAACTTTTTTTACAGCTAAAACTAACTTAGAGCCTTCCTGTCATGATCTTATTTCAAGGAAGATTTCAATTAAAGATTTTTTGGAAGCACGAGCTTGAAGTAGACTGCTCTCAGGAAAGTAATGGTTAATGCAACAACAAAACAACTTAAAATTAATAACACTGACCTGTTAATCGCACTTGCTGTTTGAGAAGTAAATTTGAATTTTTCAATGAAGAAAACTCTGTAAAACAACAATCAATGATACTTCTGTAGTTTCTGTATCATCTTAGGCTGTAAGTAAACTGCATTATCTAGCAACAGATTAACATTATTGTGGACTAGTCACAAATCATAAAAACATTCTTGACTTTAATAAATTATTCTGCATTGTATATAAGCATCCATTGATGTCTTCTAGAAGGGAGCAATATGTGTAGCATGTATACGTGTTGAGTATTGAGTGGGAATTCAGGGAATCGTAGTCACTCTACTCTAGATAGAATGTATAAAAACAACTGTAAGCAATACTATTGGAAAAGCAGTCACATTACCGATAGTCCTTGTCTAGTGAGCACAATTGCACCTGGAAACTCAGTCATTAAGTGAAGCAGTTGCTAGGTGAAACCGCAACTGTGCTTTTGATCTTAAAAAGGTGCTGGAATTTCAGATCTAATTATAAGTACCCTTTCTCTGGAAGATCATAACTTCAACCAGTCATAAAAAAGGACTATTTGAACTGCTATCCACATAGGTAAAGGCATCATCTCCTACCTCTCTACTATCATGAGGCCCATTTGTTACATTCAATGTAAAAAAGATAAAAAGCAAGCATATCTATATGGGATCATAATCTCCAGGTGTTTGACTTCAATTCCCATAATCCTCTACAAGCATAAGCAGCGCCATGATTTAGATTCAAAGTCAAAAGTATTTCCATGTTTGTCTCTTACATTGTTTTTTTTTCTGTTCTGTTTAATAAAATGCAAACACATATTAAAAAGCAAAAACCGCATTTAAATACACACACATAGAGAAATATTTAAAAGTCTGATAGAAATATAATAAAATATAAGCCAAATAAATCTGATTTCTTGATAATCGTGCACTTACTTTCCAAGTCCAATGAAAGGGAAGACAGCCACATAATAACAAACACAGATTAAAAATATGAGCCATAACGATAATGAGAAGTCTTTCACATCAGTTATTTTTATCACTTCGCCTTGAGGGGAAAAAAAGAAATGCCACTGTTAGCTGTGCAATAAGACAATAAACTGTCTAATAAGAAATGACTCCAAATAAATTTTTTAACTCTCCACTTGTTTCAACTAACAGAACTGAGCTACTCTGCACCATTAAGAATATGATACATCCTTGACATGTATGTAAAAACTCAAATTCAAAGAATTATGAGCACACTAGGTAATTATGATAGTTGCAGAATAAGAAAGATTCATGTACATATATTTCATTGGAGAAAATAGGTCAGAGATTCTTCATGTTATCAGCAGCAAGCTCCACAGCAAGGGAAGAATAATTGCTTACTGTATTTTGTGGAGTATAAGACGCACCAAGATTTTGAAGAGCCAAATTTTTTTAAAAAGTTTTTGTACTCTGCAGACCTCACAAAAACAGGCCTGTTTTTTGTCAAAAAAATGGCATGCATAGCCTTTAAAAGGCATATAGAGTGCTCCGGGAGGGAGGGGTAATGAGCAAAAAAGGCCTGTTTTTCGTGAAAATGGACCCTTTTTGTCAAAAAAAGGACATGTNTACATACATACATACATACATACACCAGAACATGCTTCTACTATTTATTTTTTAAAAAAAGCTGTTTCATGTTGAAATACATTTCAACTATATGGCTACTATATGGTTACATGGTACATAGAACCAGGACTATGATTATACCAATTCAGATAATATATGAAGTCTCTTTATAGATTTATTCTATAAAACTATTCTCTAGAATTATAGAGAATAGTTTTAATCCTATTTGAACGTATTTTCATTGATTATGATGCAGCTTATATTATCCACTATTTTCTTCTCAAGGTATGTCCAATGTACTTCAGGTTACATCTGCAAAATCTAGGAAAATGTTTTGACTTTAGAAGAAGGCACATTTGGAATGAACTTTTTATAGTGCTTAAGGCACTTGATCTTTCATACTGCTCTGGAAAAAAAGCCCAATGTTTAACTAATTAAGGAAGATTTAAAGACCATTTAAAGAATATTTAAAGAAGGAAAGACCCACAATTTCCTCTAAAAAGATAACAACAGACCAGTGCAATGTACTTTACACAAGGTTGCTTCCCTCAAGTATTAAATGAAAGTTGAAATTTGTACAAAACATAGCTGCTTTCCTTCTGGGAAGCAAGAGCTACCTGTATGGATTGCCAATAGACTTCCAAGCACAATTCAAAGTGCTGTCCTTATAAAGCCCTTCCTAGACTCACTGAAATGCCCTCAGGCCACCTGCTATAAATACAAATAACTATACAGCTTAATGTCTATGGAGATTCTCAGTCAAAGGTCATGGTTATCCCAAAGGTGCTTTTTCAAGGGGCAACAGGAATTTTGTTTTCCCTTGAAGAACTTCCTTCTGTGAAGTTCTAAAGAAGTTTCTTAGATGAGAAGTAAAACATCTTCAAGGAAAAAAGAAAGTAAGTCCAGTAGCCTCTTGAAAAAGCAGCTTTGGGACAGTTATACAACTTATTTGTATGTAACAATCGGGGAAAGATCTAGATTAGTATTTTTTGTGTAAGTTCCACTCTTCTGAAACAGTGCCTCCTCCTGAGATCTAGCTGGTGTCCTCCTTAATCACCTTCTCGAAAATAGTTCAAGCTGTTCCAAAGAGTATTCAATCTACAAGGTTGCAGAGAGGATCATCAACTTTTTAAATTATATTTTTATGGATATAATAAGACTACCAGGAACCTTTGTTGAGATAATTTAGTGCGATTCCAAAGTCAAGAGTCTTCTAACTTCCACATACTCGTATAGCTAGGGATAAGCTTTTTTTACCTTGTAAAAAATGCAAATAAATACATTTCAAAATGTGTTTGAATATTAGTAACTCGGGTTGGTAGTTAGGCTGTTGGTTTGAACTCTTAGCTTGGCAATTTGGTTGCAAACGATGGATTACAATTTTGTTATATAATTTTGTTTTGTTCTATGAAAGAACTCTATCAACCATAATCCCAAAGGTAGCATTTAAAATGAAGAAACAGGCACCCCTCTCTGCAGCAACAAAATTATAACCCATCAGATCACTTCTCAGTAACAAAAGGCAGCCACTCAAACTGTCAAACAAGCCAAAAGCAGACCACGACTCAAGCATCCAGATAAACAACTCTAATCCTAATCTGCATCACACAGACAATACTTAACTATATAGCCCAGCAACAACAGCCAGCCAATCAAACAGTCCGAAAGCAGACCATGACTCAGAAATATGGGAACAAACAAAATTCAGACCAATTTGCATCTCATAAAAAGGTATTTAAAGCTCTGTGTTCTGACAGAGGAGCACAACTCAAAATGCACTGACAATATCTCCTTGAATAGTGACAAAACATTTGCAACCAAATTGCCAAGCTCCAGCATTTGCAACCAAAAATTAAAATACCTTTTCTCAGGTGTACAAATTAATCTAACAAGAAAATGAATGTTTTGATCCTATTAAATCAAAATAGTATATATATATCAACCTTCAGATCTTTTGCATACCAATTTGCAATCCAAGCATTTTTCTAATATCACCTGTATTGTAGGACCACTGCTACATACTTACTCAGCCATGGCTAGCTTCTGCACTTTTTCTCTCTTCTTTGCAGACCAGTTAAGGTCTCCTCCTATGAGAGAAAGGATATACATATAATTTAGTAAGACACTGTTTTTACAAATCTTAACCATCTTTAGTTCTCAAGAAACAGGTACTATAATACAAGTTTGTGTTGGCCAGCTTTAGCGGCATAAAAATTTAGTAAATGTTTTTTACAAAACAAACAACTCCAACCTAAGGAAGGTGAAGCTCATAGAATAAAAGTTGGTTAAATGTGCAGGATTTGAGAAATTATGTTTGGACTCCAAAAGAAGATACCACCAAATTTATGGCATTACAGTGCATTCCACAAAGGACTACCTTTCAAAACCACCAGGAACTGCAACTGGTTCAAAATATTATGGCTTCCTTGCTATAATGAACATATGCATTGTTCGTTTTATTGCATACCAGCCATTGCTGCAAATAAATTTTGGGATGCAACTCAAAGTGCTGGTTTTAACATATCAAGGCCCTTATGGCTTGGCTCCCATGCAGGATTGCATTCTCTGCTACAGTCAAACCCCCTCCCCTATGAACATATTATATTTACCAAAAGAGGTCAACACTCATAGAAATTGTACTTCCTTCACTCTATCAAAAGATGATCAAACAGAAATATATTTGTCTATTTCCACTGCAACCTAAGATAGTTCTACTTTGAAGTTTATTAATTGGGTTCAACTGTAGTCTTTCTTTCAAGATAAGTTGTATAAACAACCTTTGAAGTGAAATTTATACTTTTAGTAAAATTAAAAGAATTGCAATTTTAATATGTTAAAGAAAAACCTCTGTACATTACGTATAATTTAAAAGAAAGTACAGAACAATCAAGACTCAGAATCATTACATTTTTACATTTAAACCATCAGCAAAGAATAGCTGGTGTATTTTATTCTAAAATAATGTGTTATTATTTCAAGGTAGAGTTACCATTTTTGCACATTGCTGATTCAAAGATACAAGTGTCAAGACAAGATAACAAAATGTTTACCTCTGAACAAATTCACGAAGTATAACGCTACTACAGCAATAAGAGCCACTGCAAGGCAAAAATGAGAAGTTACATAAATGAAAATAACATATCATGAAAATTAGCCTTAATATGGAAAGCAAAAATAGCATGTGTATAATTTTCACATAAAGAGTACCAAAGCGTAAATATCTGATGCCACAGCTGGCTTCTACAAGGGAAGGGTTTTCCCTCCAGATGTGAGACTGAGGGCAATGTAATACCCTGAAGATGTACTCAAAATTTCAATGATGACTGACACAGATTGGGAGTACAAATCAAATGTATTTGAAAAAGAAAAACAGTGGCCCCAAACAAGCAAAGTTCACTGCCTAATATCCCACAAGAACTACCATATTTTTTCGTGTATAAGACACTTTTTCTTTAGAATATGTACTTGAAAATGGAAAGGCATCTTATACACAGGAGACCAAGAGGAGAAGGTGTGGCCCATCCCTGTCCTCCAGTTCTGCCGGAAGAACCTCTACCTTATATACAGGTCTATAATTCCTCTCAATTGTATTTGTTTCTTGAATCACATTACCACTCTACGTTTCATCTTTATTGTTCCTGTGATGCATTTCCTGTTCTTGTTTTACTCACTCTCTAATAAGATGGCTTCTGCACACTGATGGCTTACAGTGAGCTTACTTACTCTACATGAAACATGGGGGTGTCTTATAGACAGAAAAATATGGTAAATCACATGAAAACTACATCTTTGTCAAAACAAACAAAGAAGGACAGAGTTTTGTAACAACAGAGTTTTCTCAGAATATTTTATTCCAATTTATAAAATACAATAGTTAATTTAAAGAAAAGAGGGAAGGAACTTCCTTTTTATTTTTAAAAATGAGGATGAGAAAAACATGCATTAAATCAGAATTTGTCTTGCGAGCAATTTCTAAAACTATTTCACAAACTACTGATGTTGTATAATTCCTTTATATACAACATCCTTTCATAGGGTTTTATACTTACAACACAAACATGAACTGAAGAAAATTTCTAGGAAGAAATATCCTCGGGAATCCAGTATCATCCCAGCAGCAATGGCTATGATCGCAAGACCCAAATTCTGGATTGACTGCATGCTGGAAAACAGAAATGACATTCCATAATCCCCACTTAGTTTTCAACCAGCACAAAGAAGCAAATTTAGAAAGCTGTCTCTTTTTTTCTGTAAAATATAAACATCTTACTGGCCAACAAAAATTGTACTTGTGCATTAAAATCCAAAATATACAATCACCACTTAAAGGAAGACTGAAGTAGAAAGAAACCACATCTTTATGGAAAAGACAGCCTCACCTGCTGTTATGAGAAGAAGAATAACTTTGTAGAACAGAGAGAAAAGCTGCAACCAAGATAATGGTCAGATAAAAGAAATCTAAGCTTGAGGAAGAAAATATATTAAGGAGGACCCTCCCTAGTTCTCACAAAGATAAAAGGAGAGGGGTGTACAGAAACTTGCAAGATTGATGTTGGCCCTTCTATAAAGGTGACTAGTGAACCAAAATTATGAATTCTATTTTTACTATAAGGTTATAGGTTTATAGATTTATAGGTTATAGGTTTATTTCATTTATATGCCTCCCTATTCCCGGAGGGACTCAGGGCGGCTAACAAACCNAAAAGGAGCAAAAAACAGGCCATTTTGGGGGGAGAAAAGGGCATGCAGAGCTTTGGGAGGCTTGTAGAGTGCTCTTGAGGGCTGGGAGGGCAAAAACGAGCAAAAACAGCCCTTGTTTTGCTCATTTTTACCCTCCCCAGCCCCTAGGAGCACTTTGCAAGCTTCCCAAAGCCTCTATATGTCCCTTTTTGCAAAGATGGGGTTTCGGTAGGGCAAAAATGCACTATTCAGTGTATAAGAGGCACCCAAATTTTCACTCTCTTTTGGGGGGGGGGTGCATCTTATACTCCAAAAAATACAGAATGTATTAAGAAAAGGGTTGCTCTGAAGTGAAGGTTCAGTTCTCAAATTTCTCCAGTCGCAACTGCTGGAAATCAGTAACATATGCCTGCTACATTAAAATGGAACCACCCAAAATTATTGTACACATCTCCAAAATAAGCCTAACAACTTAACAACAAAATAAAAACAACTTCCCAAGTCATGTATGTGATACAGTTTTGCCCATTTTCCATCAGTTATTCATTATAGCTCTTATCCTTCCCCTTCCCAAAAAAGAAAGAAAAAGATGTTAAACATTTCTCACCCTTGCTTTAATTAAAGAAAAGAGGACACTTCTGATGTAAATCCTAATAACAATGTCCTTTGGGTGATGGGTGAGTTTTACTTAAAACTTCCAGAACAGCACAGTACCTTCTGTTGTCTGCATCACATACGCTAGACTTATTTGGATTTTACTATTATTATTTTTAAGACTGAGGTTGCCATTGGTGACTGAATAGTTGTCCAATGGATGCTCTTTAAGTTTCATATTCCATCTGACTACTCATACTACTATGGTAACCTTTTAGTAAATGGGCAAATCTTCACAACTGAAGAACTCAATTTTTAAGATGCTAAAAAGAAAATGGGAAATTTGTCTTGGCTTGATCTGACATTAAGTGCTTCTAGAGGTTTTCAAATGCAATTCCCACCTTCTTTGAAGATCAGCTGTACTGGAAGAATAAGATAGGGAGTTTTAATTTGAAACATCTGGAGAACATCAAGTTAGGGAACCGGTTATAAAACTGTACATAAATTCAAAAAAAGCTTCTAGCTGTGTATTGTAATTAGGAGTCAGGTGGTATAAGCAAAAAAACAATAAATAAATTTTGGGCAGCAAAGCAAGCAAATCCAATGCTCTCAATTCAGCACAAATTCTCATGCATTCAGATGAAAGATTAAAATGCAAGGATACAAAACTGCAGTTCTATACGTATATGTAGCAGGCCAGTACTTAAGTTAACCACTGAAGAAATGACTTTGAACAAGACTAAATTTCACTGTAACTCTGAATTTTTGCTGTTTCCAAAGTTTAATATATAAAAAATGGTCTGAATTCCAGCATTTGAGCTAGATTATATTTATAATCATTTTTTTCTCTTTTTCAGATCTTTAAACTGACTCCAGCAACAAAGGACAACTATGTTTATTATATATACCNGGGGGGGGGGCAAAATGAGGAAAAAACAGTTTTGCTCATTTTTGTCCTCCCCAACTCCCAGGAGCAATCTGGAAACCTCCTAAAGGCTATGCACAACCATTTTTGCAAAGAGGGTGGGGTTTTGGGAGGCCAAAAATGCTGTATTCAGTGTATAAAACGCACCCAGATTTTCATCCTCTTTTTTGAGGGAAAAAGATCCGTCTTATACTCTGAAAAATACGGTAATTTCCCAACCAGAGAAAACTCTATTACTCAAACACTTTATGGTCAGGAAGACCAAAGTCAACCATTAGTTCAAAAACCTGGCTCTTATTCTCAGTTTACACATACTTAGAGGAGGGAGGGACACGAAGGAGACCAACATACCAGTTTTCCCTTGTTCTTTGCAAAGAATTTTCTCTGCTCTTTTGTCCAGGTAAGCAAGAATAAGAGCACAAACTAGGGAAAAGATACACGTGATACCACCTGCAATTAATAGAACAGAAAGCAAATTAAGATTTATGCCATCAATGAACATAAAATTGCTTTACAATTCTACACATTATAATATAAAGTGTATAAAATATATACACAGTATAAAGGAATGTGGGAAAGTATCTGCAGATGGCTTTATCAAACCAATTGCTAAAAACATTAGCATTATATAGCAAAGATATAATGCTAATGTTTTTAGCAATTGGTAACGATATTTCAAATAAGCCACTGAAAATAGAAAGCCAGGTATAAATTGCATGGCAGATAATTTTTCATGCCAGAAATCCCACTAAGTCTTAAGTGGCTTATTGGGGGCAACAGTACAAAGAACAATGGGGGAAAAGAATTGGGTTGAATCAGTATCAAATCAGAATGTGATTCCATTTAAATTAAAAGTGCAAAGCATTCAATCTCCATTTTTAAAATAATGTTCTGCTTTTATCACATGAAGCATTACAATATAGTGGGGCAATATCTGGAGGGGATGTCACAGCTAGAATGAAGGCTTTTGAAGCCTTCATGCAACTGCTAAGGCTTCGAAGTAGAAATCCTTAAGTGATGAAAGGGGCATTCTGGGAGTTGAAGTCTATACATCTTTAAAACAGCCAAGGTTAAGAAACCAGTGCAATCTGCATAAAAGACAAACTTGATAAAACTCAAAATTGATAGTTTAACAAGACATTTTCAATTCCTGAAATAAAAAAAATGCATTATTTTTGTAAACGGTAAAAATATTTACTAACCTATCAAGAGTGCTATGCCCAGGGTTGTGTGGCCTGTAGAACCAAACAGATCTTGAACTTTCCAGTACACCCATCCCATAATATTCATATTCACAGTGCTCCCCTTTGAAGAGATAATCATAATTAATTAAGTTATCTTAATTTATTTTCCCTCATTGTGTCAAAAGACAGCAGGCCACAAGAATCTTCCTTAATAGCATTTAATTTAAATCTTCTATATTGATATCAGAAAAGAGTATCTTTTTTTCCTTCCGATCAACAGGAAATGTTCTATATTCTACATATTTCACTTGAAGCTCTACAAGGCACATATCTAATTAATGTTCTACACTTGTTCCAAAAACTTAAGGTTATATACATTTTTTTTCTTACAATAATGATGTGGAATAATTTGAGCTGAGAAAGTATGGCTGGTTCAAGATTATCAAAGCTGTGAACAGACTTGAACCTGGCATTCCATTATTAGTCCAATATTTTAATATCATTCTTCAGGGTTCCTATCTTTATTCATTCTTTTCTTATCTAAATTCCAAATGTAAGTTAGTATAGTGTGCACTGTATACATTTTTAGGGAACCTTTGAAAAAAACACTTCTTAAAACTGACAGTCCTCAACTGGAACAGCTAAAATTGCACCCATTTAGAGATATCATTTTGATCAGATGTTCAGCAATAACATATATTCTACTAGGCCAGGTGTCATCACATGATGTAGCGCAACTTTTTTCCCCTTCACTAAAGCAAGATAGGGCGTGGTCAGCACGTGACGCATCCGGGACACAGGCCACAAGTTTGACACTCCTGCTGTAGGCCATTAACAGATAACCTGCTCCCCCTCCCCAAGTAATTTGGATTATGTCATTCATAAACCTCAGTTAACATCAAGTTATCTAAGACAATCCGCTAGCAACTGGGATCCATTTAAATTCACCACTGTTTATGTTCTTCATAGGATTTGGAATTACTTTAAGTGCACACAATGATTGTGCACATGTACCTTTTTTATTATAACAAAGTCCTTGCAAAAATTAGGCTAACTTTTTGGTTACCATTTGATTTCTCCAAATGTCCACAAACTTTCCCTCCAAGTAAGGGGAAAGGGGAAAAGATGACCGTATTAAAGTCACATTTTACTGCTGTTCCTCAGCTTAACTGATTTATCAGGTTTGACTTTTTAGAAGTCTTAATGAAACAATATTCTTAACTAATCAAATGCCTTTTTAAAAATGCCTGAATCTTTGATAGCTTCACCTCATGCAGACATGGGAACATAGAATAGCCAATACATGTGTAGCAATTACTATATTAAATATATTATATTTTTAAAAACCTGGGTGCTTAGACTTACAATTCTAGCCATGCTGAGTTGCAGACCAAAAACAAGATTTAATTCTTTTCCTTTAAACCAACTCACAGCATAGGTATTCTGTGCCACTGCTAAGGACTCACCACCAATCCTAAATGAAAGACATTCATGAATATCATATTTGAAGCCAAACACATGAAAAAACACACACCATACTATACCATTTACAAATTCATGCTGATTTCCCCCCAAAAACCTTTAAAATAAAACTGAAATAATGTAACGCTTTCTGCAAACCTTGTCTGATTTTAAATACACGAGCCTTCACTGGATTCTCTATTTTTAAAATGAAATACAGCAAATATTGAGACACAATATCCAAACTTACCCAAATACAAATCTGCCAAATTCCATCAGCCAAAATGCATTACATATTGCTCCCACAGCAAAAATTACCTGTAAGAGGAAGATGCATCTCTTTTCAGTTAATTACAGAAATTATATCACAGGCATGTATTTTAACTCTGAATTTCAATAAACGAGATTAATAAGATTTCACAGCTTTGGAGAAATTATGAATTTATTTTTCTGCATAAAACTGCCATCTGTTTCACTTACTTGTCCCACACAGACGAAACAGCTGAATATTATTGTACCCCACCTGTAAAGGAGTTTGAATAATTTAAAGTCAGCATTGTAATTGGGAACTGCCACCATACAAAATGATACTATTTACACAAATGAGGTAAAATTCTCCTTTAGACGTGAATGAACTAGATTGAAGAATCTTTTCTATCTTCTGTTACCCAAAAGAGTACCATCAATAATCAAAAAAGTAGATAAAATATATATTCTACTTTTCTTCCATGCAGCCACTATGTCACACTGATTTCAGGAGGGAAATAATCCTCCCAGAAAGGAGAGCCATATAAAAATCCAATAGGGTTGACTTTTGGGGAGAAAACAAATGGGAAATTACAGAATTATTTAATTGCTTGGATCTCTCTTGGTTCAAATTGAGCACAATTGTAGGAGCTAACTGTAATAAGCAACACGGTAAGCTATTTCTAGATATCCTCAAAGAAAAAAGTAAATTCATAATCCATAATATTCAAACAAAAAAACCAAGATCCTACTATTAAATATGAATGTATTTGTATATCATCATGTTACAATTCTGAGACTGCATGGCCAGCCAACTAACTTGGGGAAAGAAATAAAATAGAATGATAGTAAAAATCGACTTTCAAACAGTAAACATTTAGTTGTAAGTTCTTGCAAAATTATTAAGAAAAAGAGCTTGGACTTCCACGCAATCACAGAATTCAAAATATACAAAATGCATAAATTCAAGAACAGAATGTTTCAGAAGTGCCTGGAAGATTCAAATTCCCCTTTGGAGCAACCAGTTCTGAGCACAATTTCCAAGTCTCTGGAAGTAACCATCCAAACCAGAAATGGGTTAAGAGCTTCTGGATATTGTGTTTTCAAGAAGGCAAGCCTCTTTCAGAATTTCCTAACATAACTCAATCCATTTACAGTTTGGATCATGTGTTCCAGAAAAGATCACCCGGACCCTGAAAAGATACAGCATGAGCTAGAGAAAAAAAGAAAGATCCAACATTTCTCAACTGTTTCCTTTCTAAAACCATGAGTTTTGCATTCTCTCTATTAATTAAAGGAATCTCATTTGTTTTTCAGGCTTCAGCCAGAAAAAAATATGTTCCAAAAGTGTCATATTAATTTTAATAAGTGGATACCTCATTGTCTATTAAGCATATTGAAACGAAACATGAAGTACAGCTCATATTCATACAGCCATTTGAAAAAAAAATGGATATCTTAAAGAAAAAAATGATCATAATTACCTTATTCCAAATACTCTGTCTATCAAAAAGCCTCCAAAAAAACATAGAAACACATTAGGCCAGGAATACCAAGCATACAACGCCATGAATTCAGCTGTGTTTACTTTCATATTCTAAATGGAAGAGAACACAATCTTTAAGCACTGCTTTAATTTTAAAACTTTCTTACAGAATAATCCATCCAACGAAATATGGCATTGCAATATCAAGTCATTCGTCTAAAAATTGCTGTCTTGCTACAAAGAAAGATTAACACTGGTATCAGAAATAAAACATGCAAATATTGTTTGCATAAATAAAAATCTAAAGCTTTAAAAAAACTAGTAATCAGATAGAAACTAAGGATCTGAAAGAAATGATTGTTCTATTCAATGTTCTTGTACAAAACAATCCGTATTTTTTGAAACCTTGCACACTTTGGATTTTGTATTTATCTCTCATTTTGCTTCAGAGGATAATGCATTTATCATTAAAATAACTACAATAAACAACCTTGCAGCTGAGTTCTAATTTTCCCATTTCTTTTCTTCACATTAGAAAAGCTAGTGGTTATATGACAGATGGGGTATTCTTTCTCTTATACTTTAAGATTTAAAAAAATGCCTGAATTGGGAGGGAGGTCCTCCTGGAGGGAAAAATAGGTATTCTTAAACCATTCTGATCATTGATAATTGACACTCAACTGCTTTAAGAGACAACCTGTAATCTACCTGTCATTTAGCACAATCAATATCCTGATTCTTCAGAAAAACCATTATATTTCATTATATTTTAATTAAATTTTCATTGTCTGACGCTCATTTGGAATAATTTCTGGTTGTTAGAACATTTAATGAAAATCCCTTGCTATAATGGAAAAAAACAACACATCAAAGATTTAAGTAAAAAAAAGTAGTGAAATTCAGCATATTTTGTTCTTCACTCACCCTTTGAACTTGAGTCTGCAGAGCTGCTGGGGTGTCATAGCAAAAATAGCTGCCTAGGGAAAAAACAGAGCAAACAACTTATTTGTTAAAAAAACCATTCTGAAAATGCTTGCGTCAATAACCTATGTGGATCATTTGGAATTCACTAAAAAATTCACTATGAAGAGGAGAAAAAATATTTATTTATTAAATGTATATCCCTCCACCCTCTTCACTTGTCCAGGGTGGAAAAAGGGAATCAAAGCTAAAGAAGACCTGGTTAATTTCCAAGTGATACCAATACCTCCAATTAGAATTAGAATTCTTTATTAAGCAAGTATGATTGGGCACACAGGAAATTTGTCTTTGGTGCATATGCTCTCAGTGTACATAAAAAGACAAGATACATCCATTAAGAATCATAAGGTACAACACTTAATGATAGCCATAGGGTACAAATAAGCAATGAGAAAAAATATAAATCACGAAGATACAAGCAACAAGTTACAGTCATGCAAACATAAGTGGGAGGAGATGGGTGATTGATTATCCCAGGATGAGCAGCAAATAGCAACTTTCCAATCATGCCAATTGATTAAAAAAAAAATAACCATGAATGCCCTCTTTTCCTAGCCAAAACTCATTGAAGCGATTGCGATCTATGACTAAAGTTTGCTTTCTGCCATTATTCTCCTTTCGTTTTCTGTTTTCATTGATCGGCTTCAGAAGGAAGAAAAAGCAAAACAGGAAAAGCACAGCTCAAACTCGTTTGAGTCGCCCCATGTCTAGCGCTGCCTTGCAAGAATTTAGAAGGAAAAGGGGAGCGCAACACACTTTCTTTACATCCCCACACAAGGACTACCCTTAAGGCGAAACTTTATTCCGCTCCCCGGGCACAGCCCCTATTCAACCAGGAAGACAGGGACCACTGACCGAAGCCCAGGAAGCACATGAGCGCCAGCACCAGCAGCCTGTGGGCCAGCCGCTGCGGGTCGCACAACGCCGGCAAGGGTTTGCGCGCAGGGTCGCCATGGTCGTTGGGCAGCGAATCCTCATCCAGCAACGCCCGTTCCTCTTCCTCCATCAACGCCATCTTGGACAACCTCCCGGTCGCCAGCCGCCGCCAGCAAAACAAGAAGGATCACGTGAGGCCCGTCACATGACGTCACGACGCCCGGCTGGTCACGTGCGTCTCAGCACGGTACGCAGAAAGGGAAGGTCCGGCGGTGGGAGTGGCTTAAAGTTTCAAGCGTTGTGGCCCGAGCCTATGATCGCAAAGGAGGTGCCCCATTTCTTGTCGATGAGGGACCTCCGAACTTGCCGCTTGTAAGACTTTGCGGACTTCAATTCCCAGAATTCCTCAGCCAGCATGGATTCTGGGAATCGAAGTCCGCTAGTCTTACAGGCGCCAAATTTGGAGACCCTTGTTGTAGATGAGGGGTCTCCAACTTTGGCCACTTTAAGACTTGTGGACTTCAACTCCCAGAATTACTCTTTTGGCGGTCAACACTGGGCTCCCTCGACTTGTGATATGTTGCTTATTTAAAATGCAAGACCAAAATTAAAATATTTGCAGAAAGCGGGGGGCGGGGGGATGCTGTCTTTGCAAATATTTATGGAATTTACTCTTAATGGTGGAAATAAGGTTCCTATCTGATCCTTATCTTAATGTCTTTTCTAAGTCAAGGGCATTCTATAAGCCTATTATAGAGTTAGATAAATTTATTTATTTAATACATACATACATACATCATACATACATACATCATACATACATACATACATACATACATACATACATACATACATACATACATACATACATACATACTTTCATAACACTTTTCCTGAAAGTGCAGGATTGCTTTTTTTCTGGATCAACTAAAAGTTGATCCATTGGTTGCAGAAATTGACCAACTGCCAGCTGGGGAATTCTGGGAGTTGAAGTCCACAAGTCTTAAAGTTCCCAAGTTTGGACACCCCTGGGATAGTTGCTTGAGCCTGATGTGGACAGAGGGGGGGGGGGGGGGGGGGGCAGGTGGCTTTCATGGCTAAGGCAGTCTTCTAGTTTCTTGCCTGGTGCTTTAACTACTAGACCAGGGAGCTCCACACTTGACAACTTTAAGACTTGTGGACTTCAGGCACAAGTTTAAAGTTGCCAAGTTTGGAGATCCCTGTACTAGACCAAACTGATTCTTATTTGGATTAGGGTGGGTGTCAAGGATCTGTGATTGCTGTTTTTCTGGTGTGTTGGGTTTATTTTGCCCCCATGTACATGTTTCTTTTCTTTGTGCTATTGTCTTATTATAATATAAGCCACATAGAGCCCTGGTGGTGCAGTGATTAGAATGCAGAATTGCAGGCTAATTCAGCTTGCTGCCAGGAGTTCGATTCTGACCTGCTCAAGGTTGACTCAGCCTTTCACTCTTCCACGATTGGTAAAATGAGGATCCAGATTATTAGGGACAATATACTGACTCTGTAAACCACTTAGAGAGGGCTGTAAAGCACTGAAGCAGTATATAAGTCTAAGTGCTATTGCTATCTAGGAACATTAATTAATGTTTAATTAATTAACATTAATTAAAATTCCTTTGTTCAACATGCATATTAGAAAAGGTTAGCAAAACAACAGATTGGCTAACAGCAATTTTAGTGTGATCTTTATGTAGGCAGGAGAGACAATATATAATCTACCATTTGGATGGGAAGAATAGTTTTTGTTTTTGCCTTCTTTTCTTTTTTTGGTCAGGGGAATTTTCAGACTTTGTGTTAGATTATGCTTTGTATCATCTATTTGTGAGAAACAATAACAAACATTTTAATAGAGGGAGGTAAAAAAAAACCAGCATTTTTTCCAATTACCACATTTTTTTCCAAGATACTGCAGCTCATTTGGTTAAAGGATTTTAGCACATGGTGGCACTCTTGAGCTATCCACTGATGAACTGCTTAGAGGAAAGCTGGAAGATCTGTTGCATGTTTATACATAAATGAAATATTACAATATTAAAAGTATTAAATCTCTTCTGAATAATCCAATCTAGTCACTTGAATTTAGAATACTCAACTAGCAACTTCTTGCTGGATAAATAGTCTTTCCTGTCTATTAGTTTGGGAATTATAGCTATAATTAATGCAACCTTGATTTGTATATTATATTATATTCCATAGATGGCTTGGTGCAACCGGTATGGTATCTTTGGGTGCCAGTATACCTATTAAATTCTACTTTGGTGCTTGCCAGTATCCCTAATCAAACTGATCTTTAGAAACCTTTAACTAAACAAAAAAAAATGGGGGGGGGGGTAGAAATGCTGTAAAGTAACAGCATCAAACATACATTTTTTAAATGAGAAAGCTTCAGGACCCCATAAAAATTATAAAGCCATTCTTATCTACTGTAAATGTGGGCAGCTGCATCCAAACACATGGATTTTAGAAAGGGAAACAAGAGAGAGGGTGTGTGCCTCACAACATTGCTGCAATGCACTTGGTCCCTTTCAAATATGAAAGGGCAGACTTTGTATCCTGACAATGCGACATACATTTCATCACCCATTCCATCCAATAAAGTCACCTTATTTGCCACATGCCCAAAAAACAAAAGGCAGAGCAGTAGATCAATTTCAAGGAAGCTAACATTGGCCAATAACTTCACCAAATAACCTTCTTAACTGACAGTGGCCCCCGTTTCTTTTAAGTGCTGATAATATATTCTCAAGGGTTTAGAATGTGCTCATACTGTCATCCTTTATCAAGAATGTATTATACAAGGAGTTGTTTTTATGATACAACAGAGAAAACAGAGATCATGGTTTCTGGATTTTTTTCCCCTCATCATTTTAGCCAATGTAACTGAAAGAGGGTTTAGAACACAGGTGTCAAACTTGTGATGTCACATTGCCATCAAATGATGTTTCACAACATGTTCCCATTTGCGGAGCTGGGGTAGGTGTGGCCTGCACATGACACATCCAGTTTGAAACCCCTGGTTAAGAATGAAGTTACTTCTTTTCTTATAAAGATGCTCTCAGTCCTGGAGCCCATCTTTTTCTTTGGATCTTCAGGAATGCCACACTTAATGCTGTGGGAAACCAGGAGGGGAGTTTTCATGGACTAGTAGACATATATAGCCACAACAACATTCTTTTCTCTAGGAGTTAAGGACGATTCAGCCTGCACCCAGAGTGGCGTGACTAGAAAGCATCTCCAGTTGGGATGGTGGAGTGATTGGACTGTGTGATGAACATGGCTTTGACTTTCTCTTCGATGGGGAAAACCCAGAAGCTTTCAGATTCGGGTTTTCCCAGATGTGCCAATATGACATATCTAATAAAATAGAACTTTGAGGAATTTCTAGCCTTGGAGTCTTCTTTCGTTGGGGGTATTACTTGGAATCCTGACAGATGCACTGGGAATTTTTATTCTTAAATATTTTCTTTGCAGCTCCTTGGCCTGATCTGATTCATGTTCAAACTAAATCTTTGTTTTGCTGATTTCTCTCCCACACCAGATTTGGTCGTTTTCTGTTCCATCTCTAGAGCTGATAGATTCTGTGATGCCTTTCACAGAATTCCATCCACCACCACCCCCATTCCATTGAGTTGGAAAGAATGAAAAAAGTATATCACATCAATTTCAAACATAAAGATTCTAGTTTACACAATGGTTTGTGAAGTTGTATAAATATGACCATTGATTTTTTGTATATAATATTTATTTTATTCAAAGAAGGTTAAAATACAAAACACCAAAATATTTTTAAAAAGAAGAAGAAGAAACAACAAACAAGATATTAAAAAGGAAACACGCCTTAGGGAAAAAGACTAATCCAGAAAAGACTAGTACATATACACATAGTATCCTCTCTACTTGAGTGCTGATTAATAGGACAATGTTAACTTCCCACCTCTTGCAAAACAGGCCAAAATAATTTTAAACTACTAAATATTAAATTTGCTTACAAATTGTTAGCCTCTTATCTATATTACAGGAATAGCAAAATAGTTAACAACTGTTTTATTATTTAAACCAATTAATAAATATTGTTTTTCCAAATATCTCTCTAGCCAGGGGTGAAATTCAGCAGGTTCTAACAGGTTCTGAAGAACCTGTAGCGGAAATTTTGAGTAGTTTGGAGAACCGGCAAATACCACCTCTGGCTAGCCCCAGAGAGGGATGGGAATGGGAATTTTGCAATATCCTTCCCCTGCCACGCCAACCACTGGTACAGATGCATTTTTAAAACTGAAATGTTGCAGACTATTGAAATAAAATACGTTGTTGCCATTATGACCAATTTAAAAGTATGCATTCTTGGTTGATATAAGTGCAAACATACATTCTCTTTATATTAAAAGCTTAGTATCACTTTTCAATTCAATGCTATAGTAATTTAAGAAAAATCCCAGAAAAACTAAAATAATGTTGCTGTTATCAATTGAATTGAACATAGTTACAACTATGCCTTTGCCTTAGTTTCCATCACAGCTGCCTTGGAGATGACCTTGTGTCTGAAGCTAATGCCTTTAAAGTACTATATGAGTTAAATCTAAGATGATTCTCAAATGCTTTACCAATAAGTGTTTATAACACAAATAAATACAGTAGACTAGAGTTAGGGCTAGAATGTTTATTACTGGAACAAATTCTGTCTTCACATAAATCAAAGCACTCAAAGTGCCATATGATACCAAATGTTCAGTTTAACAGCATAAAATTGAACAAAAATTGTGTACAGTACTTTATAGGGGCTATAAAATCTGCAGGCTTGTAATCACCCTGAACTAGCAAAGATCACTGAGCATTCCAGATAATAAATATTCAAGTGAAACCACTCTTGGAGTTTTTATTTTTTTTAAAAAAAATATTATGGTTAGGTAAAGGTGTTGCAAAATATAACAAGCTAGTAATGTAGCAGCAGTAGCATTTTCAAAATTGTTGAATACCATTTTCTGTGGGTTTATTCATCTTCAAGCACTTTCCTCTGATAGAATGGTAACTATTAGATTGTGCTTAAACATCTGTACTTCTTCGCACTAGCAATTAGTTCCATTGAGCTGTTTTGCTTTTGAGTAAACTTGTACAAGTGTTCACTTA